CAGTGGCGAAGCTGGCCTTAAGTCAATGGTCATGCTTTGTATGGGAGAGAAAGGGGATGGGGGTCTGGGGGCATAGCCCCCAGGAAAATTACACACAACCACACCCTATAGATGCTCGGAAAAGGGGGGTAACGCCCTTTTTAGTATATTGAATCAAATAGCTCTTGTTTAGATCGCAATCAATGATGTCAAGGACTTCAACATCTAAATGTTCTTTCCACCCCATTCTCCAATGTTGTGTTTTGGAAATATCTTTGGGACAATGTTTTTGAAAAATTGTGCATTTGAAAACCCCCAACAAACACTACTGATCATACTGGAAACACATTGCAGATGAGAGAATATTATATCTACAAATATTTTTCAAAATCTAAACTTTTGATAAATCAGCTTATTTAAATCAGCAAGGGCTAAGAAATATCCATTCTCTTACTATTAATTATTGACACTTTTGATGATGTTTCTGAATTAAGATGAATTAGGCAAGATAAGCCCTCAGTGATAGGTAGGCCCTCCCTTGTTTATGATACAGGGAATTGTGGGATGCTTGTTTCTTGGTTCAGAATTTTATACTTAGCTTCAATTTTATAAGCTTAATTTTTACATATCTAAAACAAATGTATCAAGGATAGTACTGTTTAGCATATACAAAAAGTTTTGACCCCTGTATTTAAGGTGTAACATGCCATAAACATCAACAAGTTAAGTCCACCCCAACATCAAGGGCTTTCCTATAACTTTGGTCTTCCATGTTTAAGAAACCCCATAGTTTTCCTGGCAACCGAAAGCCCTGGGGAAATCAAACTGCACTGAGAAGGTTGGCTGCGTGGAAGCTACATATATAGTGTGATTAAAAATCATTTCTAAATTCTATCCATCAGCAAATTATAGTCAAATATCCAATAACAGGCAAGTTCCAGAGTGCAATTTCATTATCATCATCAAGTCATGGTGTAATATTGAATAACAGGCAAATTACAGGGATACAATACATTTGCATTGCATAGGGTACATGCAAATTACATACATGTATTAACAAAAGTTATAGAGTAATATTGAATAAACAAGCAAATTTAAGGGTACAATTTCATTTATCAACAAAAGTTATGGTGCAATATTGAATAAACAAGGAAATATAAGAGTACAATTTCATTTATCAAAAAAAGAGTTGGTGTAATATTGAATAACAGGCAAATTACAGGGATACAATACATTTGCATTGCATAGGGTACAATGCAAATTACATACATGTATTAACAAAAGTTATAGAGTAATATTGAATAAACAAGCAAATTTAAGGGTACAATTTCATTTATCAACAAAAGTTATGGTGTAGTATTGAATAAACAAGGAAATATAAGAGTACAATTTCATTTATCAAAAAAAGAGCTGGTGTAATATTGAATGCAGGCAAATTTCAGGGTACCATTTCATTTATCAGCAACAAGTTATGGTGTAATATTAAATAACAGGCAAATTGCAAGATGCAATTTGAATTTTATTTTATACACAACAAGTTATGTTGTAATATTGACTAAACAAGAAATTCTTAAGAGCACAATTCTTTCTATCAACAACAGGTCTTGGTGAAATATTGAATAAACAGGCAAGTTTTCAAAGTACAAGTTCGTCCCTCTCAGCAACAAGTAAGGTAGTAATATTGAATAAACCAGATAGAATGGACAGGCAATTTCCATCCATCATGTAAAATTCCATCCATCAGCAACAGGTTATTGTGTGATTTTGACAAAACAGGAAATTTTTCAAGAGTACAATTCCATGAGCAAGAGGTTTTGGTGAAATACTGAATACACAGGCAAGTTTCAGGGTACAAGTTCGTCCATCAGCAACAAGTTATGGTATGATCAGCAACGTAGTGGTAGGATTCTTCATCGATAAGGGTCGGCCTTTGGTTTTCAATTACAATTTTGGTTTACAATTGCCTTGCTCAGCCACACGCAAGTGATCCCTGTAGCAGTTAATAAACAATATATCTCTCGGAAATAGCTTCGATTGAATTTCCCCACTCCCTTGCAGCAATGTTTCTCAGCTCACAAGTAGACCTTAGATACTTCATGTATGAGAGATTTAGGTCGGTCATGCTGAAAAAAATGAGCATGACTTGGGGTCCAAAACGGGCCAAGATAGCATGCGCAAGATAGAATTCAGCCAATCAAATCAGTGCTAGGTTTATGATTATAATGACGAGGTCATGCTATTCCAAATGAGCATGACTTACCGCAGGGATACCAACTGAAAAGTCGTTGAAACTCAGCCGACTCACAGGAGCGGTTGGGCTCTCTGAGGAAAGAAACCCTATGGCAGGTCATGCTCTCCAGAATGAGCATGACTAACCACAAGGGACCAAGGTAGGGAAGGGCAGTGAAATAATAAGAATCAACTGGACGAATGGAGTTTTGAGGGTACTTTTTCAATAAAGAAAAGTTTTAATCATTATAATAAATGTCTTTAGCTCTGAAAATTTTTAGTCATGCTCAGCATGACCAGCATGACCGCTAGCTTCGCCACTGAGTATCCTAGATTTGGTACATACTGGGTTCATAATTTGCAGGTGCATGGAATCGCAATTTGTTTTTCTTGCCTTTTGAAGATTTCTAGACTGGTTACATTTCTTATTTCATTTGGTATACTGTTCCAAATTTGACTACACCTGTAAGATACTGTTTCAGTTCCATATATAACTGTGTTTGGGTTTTTAGTGAAAAATGACTCATTTCTGAGAGGATATGAAGACTCATGAAATTTGAAAATGTCAGTTATAAAATCTGGATTTTGGTTGATCTTGGTTTTATACATTTCTATGGCTAATCTCTGCAGGTTTTATTGATATATTGTTGAGGCATTATTTTTCATAAGTAAACCTTCAAAAGATGAGTCATAGTCATTAAACGCCACCCTCAGTGCTCTTTTATGAACATTGTTGATTAAGTTGTTCATTTTTTTGCTAAAAAACATTCAGA